CTTTTGTTCAGTAGAAATTATATAACAATTTTTAACGCGATAAATTCCTCTGTTCGGTTATATATTTTTTTAAAGTACCTATTCCTAAAAATGAAAATACAATTTATTTTATTGACAATTTCACTTCTAGTTTTGGTAAGTTTCTTTTAATATACTCCAATTTTCAAAAAAAAAAGATGCCACAGATTTTTATAAAACGTGTTGATATGGTACTTTTCAGTCATCTTGATAGTAGTCTCTTTTATTCTCAAGATTTTCTATTATGGTTTTCATACAAGGAGAAACCAGGTCAGCTATTCACAGGCTAATGCAGGGACAAAACCCAATAAGCCAACTACATAGCGCCGACCACACAAGGCTATATCAGCAAGTACAAAGGGATAATATTCTAGCTATGCCTACTGATAGAGCCATAACCACATACAAATTTGAAAGAAATTTTCAAATTCAAATACCAGCCCGAGAATCCTGGAAACAGGGACCTCCCGTACAGGCTGAACTCGTCTGGTACACAGACGGTTCAAAAACCAAGGAAGGAGCCGGTGCTGGAATCTATGGACCTAAGTCGAAATCAACGATTTCACTAAGCTTAGGAAAATATGCAACAGTGTTCCAGGCTGAGCTAATAGCCATACAACACTGTGCAAGAGAAATATTAAATCAGCAAGTATCAGGCAAAACTATTGCCATATACTCTGATAGCCAAGCAGCTCTAAAGGCAATTCTCTCACCAGAAATCAAATCACGACTGGTGAAAGACTGTCTAGAAGACCTGACAGAGCTAAGTAGTCAAAATAAGGTGACCTTAGCCTGGGTTCCAGGCCATGAGGGATATCAGGGCAACGAAAAGGCCGACGAATTAGCCCGAGAAGGCTCAGATAAGGCCATGACAGGCCCTGAACCCTTTTGTGGAGTCGCTAAGGCACTGTGCAAGGCATCCATTAAACAATGGATGCAAAAAGAGTCTCAGGAATGGTGGAACAACTATCCAAGACTGAGACAGGCCAAATAGTTCATCAAGGAACCATCGGCCAAGTTTACGAAAGACCTACTGGATCAAAAACGTCAAATCGTTAGGATAACAGTAGGCCTTCTTACTGGACACTGTCGCCTCAAAAGGCACATGAGTGTCATAAATCCAGCAGAAGAAGCAACTTTGTGCAGGTTCTGTGAAGAAGAAGAGGAAACATCATTCCACGTCCTGTGCCAATGTGAAGGCTTGGCTGGAATGAGGTTTCTAACATTGGGCGAAGAAAAGCCAATTGCATGCAACTACATGCGGGAGCCACTGTCAAAGCTACTAAGTCTAATAAAAAAGACCAGGCTAGACGACATACTCTAAAACAAACGGAGTCCCACAATAGATCTGAAAAGGTCGCGGTGGACAAGGACAAATAACGTCCAACTCCTAATCTAATCTAATCTAATCTAATCTAATCTACGATGGCATGTTCATGTAGACCAAAGTTATTGACGTTTCTCCGTAGAGACAATGTGTCATCGTTCCTCGACTTCATGTTTTGGATTCTGTATTGAAAATAGGCTAGATTGCTCCATCATTCTATTGTAGGCTTCTAACTTTATCAGGCTTTATCGGACTTGTCAGCTTAACTATGTACACACTTCCTATTACGACATAACCCTACATTTCATTTTCAATAAAACCACGGCAAAAATTAATGTTATAAATTATTTGCTACCTATTACTGCTATTTTAAAACACTTTTATTATTTATATTTTATTTCATATTTTTAGATTAGTACCGATGTCGAGACTGCAGCAGCACCACAGACATTGCCAAACGGTACTGTACCATTTTATGCATCTGGTCAAGTGTCAGGAGCGTTCTCGGCTAGTGGATCTATTGGATATGGGACGATGCCACAAACTGCCACTAACAGTAAAGCTAGCGGAAAATAGTTTTGTGATATAATATTGTTAAATTTTGCTTAAAAAAATAAATGTTGAAGAATTGAAGTTATTTTGTTCTTTCTTTACCTGTATTAGCTTTTCATTACATATGCTTTATTTCTATAGCCAAATTTTCGTATTTATTTCGTATTTCCATTTCAGTTTTAGTTATATTATTATCTAGAGGGCATGCTATATCTACATTCCAGGCAGTTTTAAATATTTTGTTGATAAGAATGTCTGGCCTGTGATAGTCAACTGTTCTGTCCGTCAATATTGGATTGTCCCAGTACAATACTGCATTCTGATTTTCTAATACCTAATTATTATTATTATTTTTTTAAATTTGGTGTCATCGGCGTCGACTACTACGGCCATTAGCTTCGTGTTCTGTGTAGGCTTTGTTACTGTTTCCCAGCGCCACTTTAATAACAGCACTGTTAAGTAGAACCCAACAGTGAATGGTTGAGTGAGGAATCCTACCTATGCATTAGAATTAATATTTAATTTTTTTTAATTAAATAAAAATCCCTGACACCGGTGGGATTCGATCCTAAAACCTTCCGATCTCAAAGTCATGACTCTAACCACTGAGCCAACCCACCCCCCTATTATTATTATTATTATTATTATTAATTATTATATTTATTATTATTATTAATTATTATTATTATTGAGGATTATCTCAGGTTAACCTGGATTATTTTTGCAGTATTCTGGGGTGCTAGTGCACCAACAGTATATGCTTGGATTCGGCTAATTTGTCTGTGAGCCAAGAAATCTTCGGACAATATGACACGTGTCAAGCACCACAGATTTATTTATTTGTGTTAAGCTGTATTTAACATTTAGTTGTTCTAGATGTTTTGTAAGTGTAAGTGGCACAATTCCAGTTGCAGATATTACTAGTGGGTGTATTTTAACTGTATTCACCCTCCACATTTGTTTGATTTCCGTAGCAAGTTCGAGATATTTATTAATTTTTGTAGCATATGTGGTTTGGATATTATGACTGAGGGGTACTGCTACATCTATTATTGCTACTTCCTTCTTTAATTTATCAAAGACTACAATGTCTGGTCGATTAGCGTTGATGCGGATGTCAGTGCGTATTTCTCTGTCCCAGTATACTTTGTATTGTAAGTTCTCTAATACAGGAGTCGGGTCGTATTTGTAGTAGGGTTTGTCTTCATTAATTAGTCTCAAGTTCTTTGCTAGCTGTTGGTGTATAATTCTGGCCACATTGTTATGTCTCTGGGTGTAGTCCATTGGTGCTAACGTTTGACATCCGCCTATAATGTGTTCAATGGTTTCGTTTGGTGATCCACACCTTCTACATTTGTCAACGATATTTTTATTTTTCAATATGAACTTTTGGTAGTTTCTTGTATTCATTACTCGGTCTTGTATGGCGCCTATGAATCCGACAGTCTCAGCAAATAGAGTTCCCCTTAGATATAGATTTGATGCTTCAGTATCCGTATTTTCGTGGAGTAGGTGATGTGCGTGACTACCATGCAGTTCTTTTTGCTTCCATCTTTGTATTTGGGACTGGATCGAAAATCTATTATCTTCAGGGTCATATTCAAGATCACTTAGTTTTAAAGGTGTGCTTTTTGTATCTGCCTGACATACTGCTCTAAACAAGTTCTGATTAGTGGATTTTTCATGGAAGTATTGCCGAGTGCCTTTATTTGCGATTGGTGAAGACGGTGGATATCTAGTATGCCTATACCTCCCACATCTGTCGGTAATGATATTCTTTCTATAGCTGAGTTGGGATGGTGCATTCGATGTTTTGTTAATGTTACACGAGTCGTTCGACATATGGATTCCAGGTCAGTAGCGGACCATTTTATAATACCAAAGGAATATGTTAGTGTCGGTATAGCATATGTATTTATAGCTTTTATTTTGTTTGCACTGGTGAGATTTGTTTTGCATATTGCTTGTACTCTTTTTTTATTAGCTTTACTTTAATTTCACTGTGGTTGATTCCTCTGAGTTGCATGATTCCTAAGTATTTATAATTGTCTCCTAAGCTGAGGCTTCTTATTATTATTATTATTATTATTATTATTATTATTATTATTATTATTATTATTATTATTATTATTATTATTATTATTATTATTATTATTATTATTATTATTATTATTATTATTATTATTATTATTATTATTATTATTATTATTATTATTATTATTATTATTATTATTATTATTATTATTATTATTATTATTATTATTATTATTATTATTATTATTATTATTATTATTATTATTATTATTATTATTATTATTATTATTATTATTATTATTATTATTATTATTATTATTATTATTATTATTATTATTATTATTATTATTATTATTATTATTATTATTATTATTATTATTATTATTATTATTATTATTATTATTATTATTATTATTATTATTATTATTATTATTATTATTATTATTATTATTATTATTATTATTATTATTATTATTATTATTATTATTATTATTATTATTATTATTATTATTAATATTATTATTATAATTATTATTATTATTATTATTATTATTATTATTATTATTATTATTATTATTATTATTATTATTATTATTATTATTATTATTATTATTATTATTATTATTATTATTATTATTATTATTATTATTGTTATTATTATTATTATTATTATTATTCTACAGTCATAGCGAGTGGTTGTGTTTTATTCTGCTCCGCTGCTAATTACTTAAATCTATAGTTTTCTGTAGAGAAAATTCTTTTAAAGTACTTTGTATAAATTGTTATGTGTTATTTAATGTCTGTGTAATCATTTGAATAGTGTATTCGTTTAATTAGAGTGCATGCCATATGCACAACTACCAGTGTCTTAGTTTAAAGCGAAATAATTTAAATAAGTGAAAAATGTGTTATTGACCTTTCAATGTGAGTACAAAAACTAGATAAATTTTGTATAAAATCGTGTTCTGGACGTTTTATTCCACCACGGTTTGGAAATTTGACAAAATAAACAGTTAATTAGTGATTGTGAAGAATTTGTATAATTTGATCTTGTAAATCGTAACTCTCGTATAAAATGGGAAATGATGCAAATAATTTGGAAGGTAACAAATGCAAACGATGCAAAAAAGAAGCAAAAACAGGCTTACAGTGTGTAGTTTGTGGCAATATATCACATAAAAGCTGTTTACCAAGTCTTAAAAATATTATTTATCTGGATGGACAAAATATAAATTGTTGCTCAGATACTATCGAAAATTCTACTCCCATAGTCGCAACAACATCTGCCCACGACTGCACTATTGATGAGATGCGTATTAAATACTTGGAGGAATTGTTAGTTCAAAAAGATTTAGTAATTTCAAATCAAAAGATAGCTATAAACGCACTGCAAGGACAAGTTAACTTAATAAACAAAGAGCTAACTACACTACTGAACGAACAAACTGTCCCAAAAATAAATCAAAATCAAATAAATACTCATCAAATACCACACTTAGTTAATAATACCAACTATCGAGAAAATATAAGTGTTCAATCTCGAGTTGAGAAAAGTTCAGTGAATAGAAACAACTCTAGTTCACACACATTTACGCCTACCGCTGTTTCGTCTGCTGTTCATGAAGCCAATGCTGCTAATATATGCAATGATATCATTCATCTAAACAAGCATACACCTAACTTGCATTTCAAAACAAACCAAAGGCCCAAAAATCTATTGGTTGGAACTATGAGTGACAAAGACCAAAATTTAAAAGCAGCGAACATAGAAAAAATGGAACTCTTCCACTCGACAAATTGGAAACCAAGCACTACAGTGAATGATGTCAAACAGTACCTTATAAATATTGATCCTCAAGTTGAGGTTATACAACTAAATTCTAGATCACCAGAAAGATATTCTTCATTCAAGTTAATTGTTCCAGAGTCTGTGGTAGAAAAGGTGCTACGTGCGGAAATATGGCCTCAAAATATTTACATTAACGAGTTTTTTCGTTCGAGAAAATTTCAACAAATGTAAAATAGGTATAGAAAGAAAAATAAGTAAGTCAACTTCACTTGTAAATTTTTCATTGCTACATATTAATGTCCGATGCTTATCAAATAAATTAGATGAATTACAAATTTTTACTAAAGATAATTCCTATGATGTTATATGTTTCTCAGAGCACTGGCTGACCAGTGACAATTTAAAAATGATAAAACTAAAAAATTATGATTTGGTCACATTTTACTGTAGGGAAAAAAATCAACACGGTGGTGTTGCAATATATTCAAATTCTACTTTAGCTCCAAAACCAATTGACATTACAATGTTCTGCATACCAGTACATGCAGAATTCTGTGGAGCAGAAATAATCGATAAAAACAATATTTTAGTTACGGTATATAGATCTTCCTCAAATGGAAATATTAATATATTTAAAAACCAATTTTCAAATTTGATCGATTTTCTTTTTAAAAAATATAAAAAAATCATAATTGTCGGTGATATAAATGTGGACCTTAATATTAACAATGAACACTCTAGGGATTTATGTAATACTTTGAGCATGTACGGTCTAAAATACTTCATACACGTACCTACTAGAATCACTCCTGAATCTAAATCGTGCTTAGATAATATTATTACAAATATAGACACTGATGATCTGGATACAGGTGTGATTGATGCCGATATTGCTGATCATCTTGCTTTATATATGACAATTACCAATTTTAAAAAATCTGTAGATGTAGTAGAGAAAACAAGAATAATTAATGATTCTAGAATTAGGAAGTTTTCGGAAAAAATAAGTGGAATAGATTGGTTTAGCTCTAGCATAGATCTCGATTCCAATATTATGGCAGATATGTTACTCGACTGTCTTCACAGTAATGTCAACACATATTTTCCATTAAAATATAAAAAAAATCAAAATAAACAGGTAAATTGGTTTAGTAATCATTTAAAAGTAATGAGAAAACGTGTCTTTGACGCAAAAAAAACGATTTAACTTAAGTAATTCAACAGAAGATTGGTATGATTATAAACAAATTAGTAAAATCTACAAAAAAAATATAAAAGAAGAAAAACGAAGAGCTTTCTCCACACAAATCACAAATTCAGATAATAAAAATAAAACTGTTTGGAATATAGTGAATTCGGAGCGAAAACAAAAAAAAAGTTCTAAAATATCTAAATTGATTTCTCCAGAAAATTACAATAATTTTTTTTGTTCTGTATCTGATCTTATAGCTAATACAATTATTAATCCAAATATAGATCCAATGTCGTACCTACATAAAAGTAGAAAACCAGTGTATTCATTTTTCATGTCCCCCATTCTAGACTCTGACGTTCGACAGGCCATGTTGAGCCTTAAAAATTCTAAATGTTTAGATTATTACGGGTTAAATAGTCAAATGCTGAAATCGTCTTTAAACTCAATAGTGAAACCTCTTGCGATACTCTATAATAAATGTGTAGAGGAAGGAAATTGGCCAGACACACTTAAAATCACCAAAATTCTCCCAATCTATAAGAAAGGTGATCTGGAAACTGTTAACAATTATCGTCCCATAGCCATAGTTCCTATAATTGGAAAAATATTTGAAATAATAATTAAAGAAAAGTTACTGAGTTACTGTGAAGATAAGTCAGTATTAACTTCAGCACAATTTGGATTCAGAAAAAATCATTCAACTATTAAGGCTCTCTCTTCTTTGATTGATTACATAGTGGAAGGGATTGATGAGGGAGTAAATACACAAGTAAGTATGTGCGACCTCACCAAGGCCTTTGACTGTGTAAACACTACCATTCTTCTAGATAAATTAGAATACTACGGGATTCGATGTAAAGAGCTAAATCTGTTTTCCTCGTATCTGACAAATAGGAAACAATATGTTAGTTGTAATGGTAAAGAATCAAACTTGACAACTGTTATAAATGGCATTCCACAAGGATCAGTTTTGGGACCAGTATTATTTTTATTATATATAAATGACTTACCAAGTACACTACAACATTCACGTTGTTTCCTATTTGCTGACGATACGTCAATTGCAACACAAGGGAGCAGTCGTCTAAGTGCAGAGAGTTTCAATAAAGTTAAGGATTGGTTTTCAGCAAATAAACTTAAACTAAATGAAGAAAAAACACAGCAAATTTCATTCAGCTCAAGTAAACTCATAGAAAAGTCAAAACCCATTAAGTATTTGGGCATTTCACTAGACACATACCTAAATTGGTGGCCACAAATTGACTCACTGTGCTCGAAGTTAGCTACCCAAGTGTTCGCAATACGTCAACTAAGATCATGTCTAACCAATGACTTGCTGAAAATGGTGTATTTTGCAATATTCCATAGCCATCTAACATACGGCATCTTATTATGGGGCAACTCGGCGGGATTAGAAAAAGTCTTCCGTATCCAGAAATCGGCAATTCGCATTATCGGTGCCGCAAGTTTTGATGCACATTGTAAAGAGTTGTTTGTTAAATATAACATTCTCACATTACCATGTATCTATATATTTGAGACAATAGTAACTGTTCACAAAAATGTAAATAAATACACAAAACATTGTGATATACATGGTCACGATACCAGAAATGCAGAAAATTTACTTCCTAGCATTTCCAGAATACAAATGAGCAAAAATAATAAATTAGACGTAAGTTTGTACAACAAATTTATTAACTTTCATAAGAAAGAAATCGTCAAACACAAGACAAATAATTCATTTATTAATTTTACGAAGTCATTCCTTATAAAGAACAGTTACTATTCTGTTGATGAATTTGTAAATGCCATAAGTTAGGTTAAAAATGTTAACTGTTTAGTTTAGAAAATAGATTGTTTTATATTTGACAAATTTTTTACCATTATATGTTTACGTATTATTTTTATTGTTATATTATATTTTAATTTTTCTAATTTTCTATTTTTATATTGTATTTCTGTTTTATATTTTATATTTTACACATAAGATTTTTAATTTATATGTCTTTAACTATATTGTATTTAAACTCTTTGTGACTTAAACTATATTTTGTATGGAAAGGTCAATAAACTCTATCTATCTATCTATTATTATTATTATTATTATTATTATTATTATTATTATTATTATTATTATTATTATTATTATTATTATTATTATTATTATTATTATTATTATTATTATTATTATTATTATTATTATTATTATTATTATTATTATTATTATTATTATTATTATTATTATTATTATTATTATTATTATTATTATTATTATTATTATTATTATTATTATTATTATTATTATTATTATTATTATTATTATTATTATTATTATTATTATTATTATTATTATTATTATTATTATTATTATTATTATTATTATTATTATTATTATTATTATTATTATTATTATTATTATTATTATTATTATTATTATTATTATTATTATTATTATTATTATTATTATTATTATTATTATTATTATTATTATTATTATTATTATTATTATTATTATTATTATTATTATTATTATTATTATTATTATTATTATTATTATTATTATTATTATTAATATTATTATTATTATTATTATTATTATTATTATTATTATTATTATTATTATTATTATTATTATTATTATTATTATTATTATTAATTATTATTATTATTAAATTTGTTTTGGTATCACTATCTTTAGGATAGGCTGTTGATGCAAGTATCGGCCGGGGCAAGATGCTTGTATTTGGTTCATACAGATACATTTAAAAATAAACGCACTATTGAGGTAGTGGATAGTATTACTGCTTTTTAGATTGGTGCTATTTTTTTGGCAATTCCTAAAATCCTTAAATTGTTAGTTAGTGACTTGGGTACTACGCCGGTTGATGATATTATCAGTGGGACTACAGACACACTCTCCTGGCGCCACATTTGTTGGATTTCCTGCCCAAGTCTCTGGTATTTGGTTTCTTTCTCCGCGTAGTAGGCTTGGATGTTATGATTGTTTGGGATTCCCACGTAGATCAGTACAACTTTGTTTTTACTTTTATCGGCGATGATAATGTCAAGCCTATTGTGGACCACTGGGCGGTCTGTTAGTACTGATCTATCCCAATACAACTTATGTGTATTGTTTTCCAAGACAGGACATGGCTCGTATTGGTAATACGGTTTCTCTTCGCTCAGGAGGCTATACTTCCGCGCCAGGCTTTGATGAATAATCTTATCTACCTGATTGTGCCTCGACAAATATGCTATCGGTACCAAGAAAGGGCAAGCCTTGTTATATGCTGGATGGTCTCGGGATGTTGGTGACACTTTCTACTATTAATTCTTTTATTAATTATTACTTGCTAAAAGCTTGGACTAAATGGGGATCACTTATTGTTACCCCATGTTGGTGACGTGTGGACTCTAACAATAGTTAACTTCCCAGAATTCACCTTTAGACTTGTTGTTTTCCAAAATATTCCGTATATATATTCAATAACGTCTCTAAATTCTAACACTGTATTTGTCTTCTTCTTCATCATCATCATCATCTAACAGTGATTATTACTAGGTTTTTGTTTGGAGGCATTCAGTATTTAACACTTCGTCAGCTACAAGATCAACAGCTGTGGTCGACTAGGTGGTGTCATCAATGCAGTTTTCGTCAAATTATGTGTCTCTTAGTGTACGTTTTTATTAAGGTATTCTTTGGAAAAGAAATTAGGAGGTGTTGTGATAATAAGAATGAAACGAATAAAATCAAATTGTAATTTTTTATTATTTACAGGTACAAAAAAGTTCTAGTACGTAGGTATACTCGTATAACTTCATAGTTTCCTAATTAATATTTTGTAGCATAGTTAACCAGCTGGGGGAGCGGGAGGCA